TCGGATGCGTTAGACCACTTTTTTGACTTTGTCTGGTCGACTTTGGCAAAGGTCGGTGTCAGTTTGAAATTCTGACAAAGATGAAGAAACTCGATAGTTCCATCACATTTAACTTGTTTCTTGCTACAATCTTCAAGTCGTCTGAATAAATGCAGCTTGTCTTCGCGTTTCAATATTCGAATGACATTAGATTTTGTTAGACATTTAAGAATAAACACTAGCGAGAAAAACACACAACGTTTCGATGACTCCATGTCATCATTCTCAAGTGAGAAGAGAATAAAAATGAATAGTTAATTTATACCGTACGAAGGTGGCAAACGTAAAAAGTTTAAAATATTTAAAATATTTAAATAAATAATTGCGCGTGTTGAGTTCATAAATGTAAACTATTAAATAAATAGTTTCGCGCGTATGGAATCCGATTGTTTGTTCAAAGAGGGCTTCATCTTCTTTATGAAAAGCATTTCATGAACTAAACAGTCCAGTTTCCCGGTGCACTTTTTAAGTACGTTGAAATGCTTGGTCAGGTCGCCGATGGTTTGTAGGCTGTGGTCGTTGTTTATATGTTTGCCGATGGCCGAATTACGGTGCTCATAAATACATTGATGTAAATGCCGGCTGGTGTACCTGACGTACTCTGCATCACACAGATCACATTTATAATTGTATACAACGCATTGTTGGCTAACTATAGGAGGTTGTGTGTTTTTCTTGCTAGTGTTTATTCTTAAATGTCCAACAAAATCTAATGTCATTCGAAACTTAAAACATTTCTTTTTATTCAAGCTTATGAATGGTGATGTTTATGAGTCGATAAATAGTTCCTATCTGTCGTGTACATTTATCTATTGTGTAGTTTGTGCCTCGTTTTAATGTCACTTTGTTGTGATTATTTTTACTTTCTACCTTTATCAAATTTTTGTAAACAGCGCCTTTGAATCTTGTAGAAAAAGTGCTATATAAATGGATTATTATTATTATTATTATTATTGAGAAAACAAATATTTTTTGATTTGAAAGTGAAATCTGAGAGCTAAAATTACAAGAAAAGAATGCCAGAAAGTAAAGAGAGTTGGTATTTACCTCTAGATTGGCTCATCTTCAGTGTAAAAACCTGTGAAGCTCACGAGTGACGTAAAACAAAGACAACAAAAATTATAAACAATAGCGTACAGCAAAACAATACCTCATGAAACAAAGAAAACCTTGTCAGGTTTTTACACCGAGGATGACCCTGTAGATCTCGTGAGTGAGTGGTTCAAAGAAACCTGTCACAGTATTTTGAATCAATGTTTTTTTGGTATTGTGCAAAACTACACTCATTTTAAAGGAGACTACTTGCAGTTGGGTAGAAACACAGAAGAGCAGCAATAATAAACTTAGAAGGAATTACAATCACTAAGGATGTGTATGATTACTGTTTAATAATAAACTGACCTGTTTTCTTTTGTTTAGATTGGTTGCAATGCTGTTAGCTGGGCTCCCTCAGCCTACCCAGGGTCATTATTGGAGGGGGTAAGTAAGACTATAAAGAAACTGTGATGCTGCTTCTGTGATGGCTGATACAAATTAATGTGTAATTAATTAATTAATTTAATTAATGTGTAATTAATTAATTAATTAAATTAATGTGTAATTAATTAATTAATGTGTAATTAATTTAATTAACTAATTAATCATCAACTGAGTTGATGACATAAAAGTAAATTTCCATCTGTAAAGAGTCTCTAAAACTTGTGTTTTGTGACAAAGGGTTAATGCTCAAAACATCAGCTTTACATTGGCTAATTTATGTTATCAACTCAGTTGATAAAACCAGTCTATCATTACCACAATTACATTTGTATTGAATCTTCTGCTTGTTTTTTTTTTTTTCTATTGATATCCATGGTTGATTTCATGACTACTTGGATGTATAGTTAAATGATACTGTTTTTTTTTCCTTGATTTACATGTCTTAGTGTGCAAAATGTTTGCAATAGTTTTGCATTGGTGATTGCTAGGGAAATAGTTTTTGGCTATAATTTAAAAAGAAAAAAAAAGAGAGAAAAGGAAACTGTTTGGCCTCTTGATGATATGAAGGGGAAGTAAAAGACGCTCTCCTCCCTTTCTCGAAAAGGAGTGTTTATGGTAGGAGATCTTATAACTGTCAACTCACTGGGCACATTCTCCATACTGATCTCTGTACATTTTCTAAGCTACTGATTTGGAGAATTTGCGTAACAATCAAGGGCTTCTCTAGTTGGAGATAGTTTTCATTATTCTTGTGACCTAAATGTGTGATTCGGAGGTGATATTGTTGAAAGATGCTAGGGTTCGACACTAACTTTTCAACTTGCTAGCCAAGTGGCTGGTGACAACTTGGGTGTTGAATCAATTTCAGTTTGTTTACTAGCCAAACTGGCTATTGGAAATCAAAAGCCACTTGCTAAAACTGAATATGTACTAGTCTGTGGCTAGTTGGCTACTGTTAGTGTCAAGCCCTGAGATGTTATTAGAGGTTGAAGGGTTTAGAAGTGGAACTGATAGTTATTGCTAATTAATTCTTGCCACTAGTCACTGTCCTTACTTTGAATGAATCAGTGAGAATACTGGACATTGTTTCTATTCTGTTGATGCTGACTGCATTTTGTGTTTTTTTTTTCTCTCTATATGCTAGCCTGGGGCAAAGTCAGATCCTTCAGTGAAAAGATTTGTCACAGGGGGATGTGATAATTTGGTAAAAGTATGGAAGTAAGTCAAATACATGTACTAGCATTGATCATGGATTATTAAATTGTGTTCATGCCAGCCTAGGAATTAGTATTTTTTTCTGTGTGTGATAAATTTATCCACATATCTTTCCATGGCATCAGGATTGAAGGTAGTGAAACTGCAGGACTTCGCTTAGCCAGTGTGTTTCAATGGTCTGGCATGAAATTGAGGCAGTTAGATACCCACATGAGATTGAGGCAGTTAGATACCCACATGAGATTGAGGCAGTGTGCCAGTTCGTCCCAAAAACCTGGCTAGGGATTGATACCCACAGGACTGAAAATGGAATGAATAGTATGTGTTCTCTAATATGAAATATTAAGATATTTTTATTTTCACCCTGATATTGATGACTTTAAATTCTAGTAGATTCCTGGTGAAATCTTGACACTGTTGATTTGATAATATTATAGAGAAGTTGATGGCCAGTGGGAAGAGGAGGAAAAACTAGAAGCACATAGTGACTGGGTCAGAGATGTTGCTTGGGCACCTAATGTTGGTCTCCCTATTAGCACCATAGCGACATGCTCTCAGGTGTGTTTAGTCAGTGGTACCAGTAAACATAAAATCCTTTGTTAATAAGGACTGTTCAGGCTGTATTGTCAACCTCAATTGAGTTTGGTGTAGAACATGATTATCCCAAAGGAGAATGTGTTACTGTAATGCTATAACACTGATGCACTGCAAAAATAAAATCCCCTACAAATGTAGGATTGCTAAGAGATCAGAGAAAGTTTTTCAAAGACCAAATGTGAGGTGTTGTAATGGTAAAAGAGGAGAAAGAACATGAAATTAACCCTTTGAGCCCTAAGAGCGACTAACATCTAATTTCTCCTTACAATATCGCCCCCGAATCACACATTAAGGTCACAAGAATATAGGAAATGATCAACAACTAAACAAGCTCTTGATAGTTACACAAATTCTCCTTGCCAGCACCTTAGGAAATGTATAGAGAGCAGTATGGAGAATATGCATGCTGATGTAATGGGGTGTAAAATAGTTCACAAATTGTTTTGTTGGAATAAAGGCTGAAAGTTTTTAAAGAAATTGTGGTGCTGCGTCGATGGGGGTAACAAGGTAATTTGTTCTGACGAAGGGCTAATGCTTGAAACATCAGCTTTTTAACTCATTACGGTGGCCAATTTACAATTTCAGCTTAGTTGATATAACCAAATTATTTTGTTGGAATACTATGCAGGATTGTCGTGTTGTAATCTGGACAAAGGATGAAATTAATGGAGGAACATGGGCTTCTAAGGTATTTTAGAATTTTGGAATGTTATAATTCAATGTTTTTTTTAAGCTTTTCAAGTCTACCTTTCTAGTGCCAATAAGGTTTTGGCTGGCAAATGTACCAGAATAAGTTTGCGATGGCCAACTCGTTTTTTGAAACAACTTAGTGATTAGTTGAATGAATTACAGTAAGGAAGGCAGGAGGTTTTGGTAAAAGTTGAGAATTTTTCAAATCAGTGACCTTGAAAAAATTATAATTGTAGAGGTCTTCATTTTTATACATGAGTATGTACGAATTTTGGTGTCTATTTCCTCTATAGGTTGTAAAGAAGTTTGGGGATGTTGTGTGGCATGTCAGTTGGTCAGTCACTGGCAGTATTTTAGCTGTATCTGGAGGAGATAACAAGGTATACAAAAATCATTGTTTCTTAGCTGTCAGAAATATGGGAATAAGTCAGACTACACACAGGCCTCATTTTGCAGTATAGTTCATTATGCAAGTCAGTAGAAACCAACAAATGCAACTCTATGCAACATGTCTGTCCCTTGCATATCACCCTCAGAGTTGGTGTGTTGTCATCTTATTTTGTTCCTCTAATCTGGGATTGAGCAGTGGACATTCTAGAATGTGGCTCTTCCTGTCCACTTTTTCCAGGTTGAAGCGGAATTTAGAATGTTGGTTTTTGGGGAGGTAGGAATAAGTGATATTGATAAGTTATGGGGCGATTTTGGAGAAAATTAAAAGAGAGAAAATAGAGGGTTTTTAAACACGTAATATTTTGTTTATTTGCATTTTGTTATTGGAGCCTTGCATTGTGGTCGTTAAATTTCTTTTCCTTCCACAGGTGAGCTTATGGAAGGAGTCTTTGGAGGGGCAGTGGGTCTGTGTGAGTGATGTGTACAAAGGTCAAGGGCAGGAGCCACAGTGATGTCACAGTGATGTCACATAGCCATATTTAGACAAAAAACTTTTTTAAATATCTAGAGAAAAAATGTAAGATACATCTGCATCAAGGAACATGGAGTTGAGAATGGATTGGAAGATCTTTTGGTCAGGATCTATGTTTAATGTGGAACACAGCACTACATGCTTTTTCCTGGTGTTTTGGCAGCAATTGACAGCTCTGTCATCGCTTGTAAAGTTCTGTGTTTGTGGGCAGTGGTTAATGTTGATGTTGTCAAAATTTTGGTTAAAGTAGGAAAAGAAGGTCCAGTTTCTACATTCCTTTCCTTCTGGTCACTTTTAATCTGTCGAATTGACTTACTCTGTTCATGCATAGTTTCAATTTGCTTTGTGATTAAACATATGTATGAGTTCACAAAGTTATTATTGATTTAAATCATGTCCGATATGCTCTACTAGCCTTAAGTACAATGAACGGTAAAAGTCTTGGCATGCTCTACTACTGTTTGAAGTTTTTCTAATACTTTGATTTATCTCCCCCTCTGCCCTGTTTCAATGTCGCTTGGTTTTACAAAATGATCTCAAAATTTGTGGTAACACTGTTTTTTTTTTGGGAGGGGGGGGGGTTAAGGGGGACGTTGGAAGTAATCTATTAGAGATAATAGACCGCCTCCCAGTTAGCTCAGTAGATAGAGCGCTGGACTGTTGTGCGGGAGGTCGAGGGTTTGAGCCCCAGCTGGACCAACACTCAAGGTCTTAAAAATAATTGAGAAGAATATGCTACCTCTCTATAACATCAAGAAATGGTTAGATATTCTAGTCTTCTCGGATAAGGACGAATAAAAGGAGGTCCTATCTCCTGCAGGGTTAGGGGTAGGAGACGTTAAATTTCCCACGCACGAGATTACTGTGTGATGGATGTCCTTCCCTGGGGTGGGTTGGGATTGGTTTAGGCCGGTGAACCTAGTGGGGGACTACGTGTCCTATTGTTCTCTCGCCTGTACACTGTATGAATCTTCAGAAATAGAAACAAATAAATTGCAAGATTTCTGTTTATTATGTTAAGTGGAGGGTTGTTGACAAGCTAGTAATGGGTGGTATGCCAACTTCTTTTACCACTTATCGTAGGGACACGATATCTGCCAGGAAAATTAATGTATCAATGGTCAGTTGACCTTTGCTACGCACCCAACTCCTTTTGCACACATTTTGGGGAAAGGGGAGTTTATGGGAAACTTTTAACACCATATCTCTTCACTGAATGCCTGTTCTGATCTATGTAGTTTGTCGAAATAAATCCCAACTCGAAAGAGTTCTTCCTTATCTCTGCCAGTCCTCTTAGCTTTGAATTGGGAGCAAAACCTGAATTGGACAACATTGACGCAAGACTCTCAGGCAACTTTGTAGAAAATTTGAACCTAGTCTTTGTCGAACAGATAC